TTGTTAAACTACTTTTTGCTGCTGTGTTCACGGTGGCTTACAGAGTTCTAGCCCCTGATGTTTAAAATATTTTTTTCTCTGTAATATCTCCTTTGCATTCTTAACTCATGCAATGAATTTTGCAATCCTAATATGCTGAAACTGGCCTTAAATTAGGATTTATCTAAGATTTTTGTGATTACCAGTCTTACCACCTTTCACACGGTTATTTTGAATTAATTGCACAATGGCTCAGTTGCAAAGCCAAGCTCAAGGCTTCTTAGTGGGTGTGATTAAATGCTGTAAAGGTTTTTTTCTTTGCCTCATAAAAATACTGAGGTGTGGAGGTGAATTGCAGGATGCATTTGTTCCTGTCCTGCAGCAGAGGCTGTCCCAGGCACCCAAGCAGTTAATGCTCTGAGAAGCTGTAGCTGGGGAAGCTTTCCACAGTTTGCCTGCTGTCTTAACTGCCAGCTTTATGCTAGAGTGCACAAGGTTGTCAGCCAAGCTAAGTAGATGGCTGTGTCTGGCATGGCTGAGTGGCCTGCTGAAATTCTGAGGCAAAAAGCTGTGTGGTTTTTAGACTTGACAGTTAAAAGAGGGGAGGTGGGAAGAGAAATAGGTGTACTTGTCTCCACATCCTCAGCATGACGGTTCAAATTTGACCAGTTTGAGGTAGAAACTTGTCTTAACACCCTTCTGAAATGTCAGATTTAAAATGGCAAAAACTCTAAATGTTTTGAACACCATTTATGTTTTGAATGGGTCTAAAGCTTGATATTCTGATTCCTTCCTGGGGAGGAAGGGAAGGCACTAGAGCTGCCTGGCTGCCTGTCCCTTTGATCTAGAAGAGGGTCATCCGACAAATGCCCCATCTTCCATCTCTGTCCTAGTTCTGCTCTTGCTGAACCTGTTCATCACAGGAGTCTATTTTTGCCTTTGTGTGCATATGGGAAGAAGTATGTTGAGGCAAACCAGACTCAGACAGGCAAGGCTCTATCTCTGGCAAGGGAAACCTTTTTTCCCCCACCTTCTTCTCTTTGTTTTATTTCAGCAATTGCCAGCTGGGAAACAGAAGGACTAGGAGGAGGAGGGTGCTTTCTTTTTCTTTTTTTCCTTTTGAACATTTGTCCATTACACTTAAGTTCTTGATTAAAAAATAAATAAAAAAAAGGTTACAAAGAACCTTTGGGATTTTGTATTTTGTTTGCATTTGTTTCTAGCTCCCAATTGTATGAGCACTTGGCTAATCACAGGCCTAGCTGTACCCTGATGCAGCAAAAGGAGAGGTAGCTTTTGGCCCTGTTCCTCTGAATTGCCACGTTGCATTAAAGGAACCATTCCTGTTGGAGGTGTTCTGTGTCAAAAATTCAGCAGGTTATTTTCAAAACAACAGAATTGAAGCAGATGGAACAGGAAAGTGTTCACTTCTCTTTTGACAGGCTAGGATTGAAGGACCACAATGCTCTTGAAATGACATTTTTGCTCTGAAAAAACTCCACCACAGCTTGTTGAATACTAGATTTAAAAGGAATTGTGAAGGAACAGGTGACAAGAAACAGCATAAAACTCCCAAGTTGGCTGCAGGTGACTTCAGCTATTGCTGTGTTCATTATTCTGAGCCTCTGTGCTTGTTTTACGTGCTGCAAGCAGCAGTCAGCAGCTTCTCTGGACGTTTCTTTTGGCAGCTTCCAGCCTACCCTTCCTCTTAGGTTTTGTGCTGTGGGAAGGGGGTGCTTACATTCAGAGCATAACTTGAGGCAGTTGTATATTTTATTCATATTAAAGGCTCATCTGTAGAAGTCATGTCGAAGTTCAACAGAGTAATTAAATTTCACCCCATGCCACATCTTTGCATTGTTGCCCCAATACAAGAAATCCTGCAAATATAATTTGATTAAGTTTTATTCACCACTTAAGTTTAGAAAGTAAAAACAAAAAAAAATGCCTCCAGCACTCCCTGTGTCAGGCTGGTTTGGATTCAGTTTGTGTGGCCTCCATCCCTTGCCCTCTGTGAAAAGCCTTCTGTTGGCACTGCACCAGAGCTGATAGTGAATGGAAACACCCATTTCTGTTGATTCAACAGCAAACAGCAGAGAATCTGCTAAATGAAATTTTATTTCTCTGTGCTTTTTAATGGGACAATAAATCCTCACCAATGTTACCTGTCTGCCAAAACTGTACCTCACTAGCATTCTGGGCTGTTTGGAGATCTGCTGCCTCTGCTCACCTCTGCTCTAGAGGTAAACAGCTGTAGAGGAAAGAGAGAGTGGCACATATAAGATGTAGATATATTTCTTGGCATCTGCTTGAGCATACTGTCAAATATCATTCTTATGTAAAACCTTTTATATTCTGTAAAACCTGGGGTGCTGGATTGTGTGCCTGATTTGTCAAATGAAATTTGGGAATCAGGGAAGAGAGGAAGTCTTCAACAGGAAACATTCCTCTAGCATTTCAGTATTCTCAGCTACTTGAGAGCAGGTGATAACTTCATATTTGGCATTTTTCTCCTCCTAGTTGTAACTCATATCCAGCTTGTGCTGTTGAAGGAAGTACAGTTGTATTTAAACACAGGAAAAAATTCAGGCAAGCCTGGATTTATTTTCTTTTATTTTCATTTGAAAGTTAAGGATGTTTCCTCATTTTGGCAGGGTAATTTTTTTTAAATTAATTTAAAACTAGAGGAAAAAAAGTTCATTATTTCACAGATAATGTGAAAGTTAAACACAATAGAGAGCTAACTATAATTGATAGATTGTCAAAATGCAGCTTTATTTTGCATTGCTGTCATTTTCTACTGCTTAACAACACCTGAGAAAATAGTTTAAAGAAAAATATTTGTGTGAGTGTAGCATTTAAGCAGTAGTGTTCTGTTCTAGGGCAAGGCAGCCTTATGCCACGTAATGTTGTCTTCTGTTAGGACAGCAGCTAGCCTTGACTTCTGCAGGTTCTTTCAGGGTTCAGTGCTGAGTCTTTTTAAAAAATCATAATTCCTTCTTTGTGTTACGAAAAAAAAAGGTACTGTCCCTTTTTTCCATCCTGCAGTTGTAGTTCTTGCATCACCTTTTGACTACTTTTCTTGGATGACCTTGGTGTAGATTTGTTATTTCTTAAGCATCACTATCTCTCATTTGATCTTATGTTTAATTTTTTTTGGCATTTGCTTATCCATGGGTTTTTTTAAAGTAGTTCTGGCTAACTGATTCAGGTTACATGAAAGACAGAAAGACAATCTTACCTTTACAATAATTGTGTTATGAAAGGTTTGCAGGTAGAGGTTTGTTTGACTATTGGATACTGCTTGTGAAAAAGAGTTCATTTCATTGGCTTATTGTTATTATAATTTTTTAAATATTTTTTCCCTGTAATATCTCCTTTGCATTCTTACCTCATACAATGAATTTTGCAATCCTAATATGTTGAAACTGGCCTTAAATAAGGATTTGTCTAAGATTTTTGTGATTACCAGTCTTACCTATCGTGGCATTCTTTTAGGTTTCATATTTAAGAGTGATTCTGGTATACTGCACAGCTTATTAAAGGGGTTTTTTTCAGTTCCTTAAAGCTGCTGGGTTGAGCAGAGCTCTAAAATTCAGAAGTACAGAGATAGCAACTTTCCTGCTGGCCTGTTAAAAACCAAAGTTGAGTGAAGTCCTTTGTGCTTGTGTTGCTTGTATCAAATACAATTTATCATACCTGTATGTGTCTTCTGAACGACCTTGATAGAAATGACTGCCACACTTGCTCTGGAAATAGACCATTTTATGAAAATGGCTAAGTAGCTGAAAATAAACAAGTAAGCCTGAGCACTGGATGAATAGACAGCAAACCACAAATCATTTAGCTTCAGACAGAAATAAACCAAAGCAGGAAAAAGGTGGTGAGAAAAAGAAGCCATGAATGATGATACATTTGGTCTTTTAACCTAAAATCTGTTACAGCTTCAGTTCTCTTTATCTTTCTGTACTCTTGTGCTAGGATAATTGTTAAGTTAAGAATCATGGGGTTTAATCCTAGTCTGCACACATGAAAATGGTGTAGTTTTCTTGTACTAGTCTCTATTTTGCTGTTGTGTTGAGTATGTATTTCCTATGGGTGAGCTGAATCTTTAGGTTTGTTTATACTACAGTCACAAAAATGCAGCAAATAAAATTAGATAAGTCTGTGACTTGTACTACCTGGGCAGTCTTTTGCCAATAGCTAAGCTACCTTATTTTAAATTAGATGAGGCATCAGTATACCTTCGTTGATTGTAAGGTACTGTCTAATCTGTTGCTTAATTACATTTCATAACTTGGGGGGAAAGGTGTGCTGGAATCTCTGCATTGGGATTTTTTTTTTTTTAAAGCTAAAATACTGTATTATCCAAAGTATAGCACAGAACAAAGGTAATAGGGGCAAAAATTGCATGCCTGTATCTTGGCATATGTATTTAAAATATAAATATGATACTAATCCCGTTAATATTTAAATGACAAGTGGCTTACAAATAAAAATACAGTATTTTTTTTTCTCCAGAAAGTTCCTCCTGGTATTAAAAAAAATACTTTTACTATCTTGCTTGGAATTCCATTTGAGAAAAATACTCTGAAGCTGCTGAGCACTTAAAAACTTGAGGATAACAGAATGCTGCATATGCTTTTACAGCCTCTAAACATCCCTGAAGTACTCATAACTAAAATTTGTACAAGTGGAAAGTGTCAACTCCCACACAGACCTCTGTATCTGTATCTGTATCAGCAGTGTTGATATATTATACTTCAGTTTTTATTTTACTAAACGTGAAGTCTTTGGATTGCAACAGGTTTGGATACCTATCATCTGTAGGTAGTGATATAGGAAGTGCTGAGCTCCAGTGGTAGGAAGTGCAGGAAGAAGTACTTGTTTCTTGACTCTAATGCTTTCTCATTTAATAAGTTACATGGGAAAATAATAATGCTTTCTTTCCCCTCCTCCTCTGATTTTCTGTAGTGGACCAGATCTATCATCTAGCATCTCCTGCCTCTCCTCCAAATTACATGTATAACCCTATAAAAACATTAAAGACCAACACTATTGGGACATTAAACATGCTGGGTAAGTGGAAATATTTTTATTTTCCTTACGTCACTTGGTTAGACATAACCTGGACTGGGGGTGGGGAGAGGAGAGGATGCAGCAGATGAGTTGTACATTTTAAAAAGTTGCTTCCTTAAGAAAAATAAAGGTGGGGGAAAAATAAAGGTGGGTTTTTTTGCCCTGCTTTAAAGGTTTTTGCACTTTTCCTTTAAATATACCTGCAGATGAATTCTGACAACATGCAAGCTCAGCTGTCAGAGCACAACTTCATGCCTTTAACTGGGCTATTTTCAGCTTTGTTCATTGGTTTTGAAGCGGGGAATGAATGGGCCTGTGAAAAGAAGGCCTTGAGCTTATACTGTGTTACAGTTACCAAAACTTGCAAGATAATTGTTTCAAGATCAGGATTTTGTGACTGGAGCAGTTTACACTTTCCTGGCCTGTATTTAGGGTGTAATATATTGAGTTCCTGGGGCTTGGTTCTGTGTGACTTTCAGACCCAGGAGGAAATGCATCACGCATGTGGGTGCTGCTCTGTTGTTTCTCAAGTTTTCTAGCTTGGATCTGGGAGCTATGCATGTGATCTACAGCAACATTTACCTCGTGAGAGAAATAGAATTCTCTTCAAAATCATGTAAAGCAGGATCACACTAAAGCAGTTAACCTGACTGAAAGTTTCTTATATTTGCTGTAATTACACTGTTCTTTTCCTGTTGCCCAACATGTAGGGTTAGCTAAGCGTGTTGGAGCACGGCTGCTGCTGGCCTCCACATCAGAGGTATATGGAGGTAAGAAGGACAATAAATACCCTGTTTAGAGCTCTTGAGATATGACTGTGTGAAAAGATATTTGCAAACCTTCTGTTGACTGGTAGAATGACAGGTTTTCATCACTGCCTTTGCTTATTTCTTTAGCAGATGTACTTCTCGCAGTTTAAAATGAGGGGCATTAGTACTTGCTTCCTCTAGTCAGAGTGTTGGAAGGAGGCCTAGACTGTTGTCTGTAACTTGACTATGTCTTGTTTTTCCATAGGGGTTTTGGAGGCAATTTTGAGTATTGAACTTTAATTAACATAGAGATGCCATGATGAAAACTTGTGAAGATAATTTCAATAGTAAATCTACATCTTTTTTCCCAGTCACTTATTAATTGTATTGTTACGACTGAGCAATTGCCCTGGTGTGTAAGAGACAAGGATGTAACCTCCAAGCTAAGAAAATGCTAATTGTGCATGCAGGTTCTTGACTCTTAAAAAAATGTGATATTCAGCAGTAGTGTCACATCTCTCCATCTTCCTTTTACTGTTCCTGGGAAGTGAAGTAGTAAGAGGCTGACTGATAGAACTGCTAACTGGGTGCAGTAGGAATCCCTAGTACTTCTTGGGGCACATGACAGACCCATGTGCCATTGTGCATCCAGGTTCTTGGGGTGACTCTTAAAAAAAATATGATATTCAGCAGTAGTGTCACATCTCTCCATCTTCCTTTTACTGTTCCTGGGAAGTGAAGTAGTAAGAGACTGACTGATAGAACTGCTAACTGGGTGCAGTAGGAATCCCTAGTACTTCTTGGGGCACATGACAGACCCATGTGCCTACTAGAGAAATTTCTGCTGTTGTGAACTCCTGCCTCGTTGATTAGCAGCAGTGGTGGAGGATTGATGGAGATATGCAGCCACAGTCACCTGCTCAGTGTTAGTACTTATGAGAGCCTAGGCTTTAGAGAACAAACAAGCAAACAAAAAAACTACTCATCTGTGTGACAAGATACAAAGCTTTTAGAGGGAGGACAAAGAACATACCTCAAGGGAGTACACTTTTGCTGGAACAACTTCAGAAGAAGATTCAAAGCAAGTACCAAGCAAGAGACTGCTAGGATGACAGACCAACCTAATAAACAGCTTGAGCATGTGCAGCATTCTTACTGCCTCCTTTGCCTTTGATAATCCCAGCTCAGGATCCACAGGGAAAAATGGTAGCCCCAAGGACTCCTCTGTAATTGAGTTGACTCAATTTCAAGTTTCTGGAACAGGGGACTAACGGGCAAAAAAGACCCCAAGTTTTGAAGCCTCATTGCTTTGCTGCAGTCTGCCTGCTGAAGTGGAAAGCTTGAAATTCCCATTATCAGGCTTTGTTGTGTCAGTAATTCTCATGTAGCAGGGAGAGTCTAATCATGTTACAGTCTTACTACAGGCATAGTAATTTTGCTGAAAAATAAAGGACAGAAAATAAAGTCAGAAAATACCTGTTAGTTGTTTCTGCAGGAGAAGGCAATGTTGTATAGAGGGTTTCCACGTGCTTTGCAGGGCTGCCTCTGCCAGGAGGAGGATGGAAACTAAGTGACCTTCTAGATTACAGCACCTTCTGGTGCCCTTCTGAGAATGCTGCAAGCTTTTATGATCATGTAAAACCTCTCTGCATTTACTATTGCTCAGTGGCTCTTGAATGGCAGGAATTGACATGTAATCATAAAAGCTGTAAGGGTTAATCACAACTGACTCTCAAAGCTATTTCAAAAATTAGCCTGTAGCACTTCTGAGTTTTGTAGTAATGTATGCCAACTACAAACCCAGTGAAAAAGTGCTTGGATTGTTTCAAGCATACAGAGTGTGTACACACAAACACAGACTTCTACATTTTTGACTGATTGAGGCTTTTTGTAATCAAGAGTTTCTCTACTGGAGCAAACCAAAGGATCATCCAACTTGATTGTCTGTGCCCAGTGACAGCTGTTAAAAATGCTTGGGATAAAACAGAAGAAACATAGCAAGTACATTGTGGTACATCACTCTGTTCTTTCTTCTTTAAGAAATGCAGTAGTTCTCTATCCTTTTTTTTTTTCCTTTTCTGTTATTTTATAAAACTTGAGGATGCTTTACTTTTTTCCAAATACAGTAAAAAGTGCTGCCTCTGTATCCTGTAATATTTCCTCTGAAATATTCTTCAGCTAAGAGTCATACTTGTCCCCTTGAGGTAGTCTGTCTTTGCAGAGAGGAGTTGAATTCAACCCTCTGTTCACACAGTCCTTTAGGGGAAAGCAGCTGGAGGCTGTTGTGTCCTTGTACTCAGTTACCTTGTCTCATGTCTTCCATAACTGTCATTTTCATGATTCTGGTGAGTACCCTTTAAAGGAATGGTGTTGAAACTTAATATTCTTTAAAATCCATTGTTCAGAGATAAACTGTTGAATTGTGTAACACCAATGATCTAATGAAAGATTCATTATATATAGTCACCTTTTAGAGAAAAGATCATTTAAGGTGTGGTTTTTTTTTTTTTTCCCCTGTAGATCCTGAAGTTCACCCTCAAAATGAGGATTACTGGGGCCATGTGAATCCAATAGGTCCAAGAGCTTGCTATGATGAAGGGAAGAGGGTTGCAGAGACCATGTGCTATGCATACATGAAACAGGTATTAAACTTGTATCAGATTCAATAGATTTTATGTCATTAATGAAGGCAAAATTTGTGGCAAAACTGGGTTACATGTATTTAAGGGTAGGAGGGCAAAAGAGAATGTCTTGAGCAGGAGCACTCATGCTGCAGCTGCAGGATCTGTTTTCTTTCATGCAATAGTTTTATTGCTCCCATCTGCTTTGTTTATTTCAGATGAGCAGTGTTCTTCAAGAAAATGTGCTTTAGTCTTCTTAAAAGACTGTTAGTTGCATCTTTCACTATTGTAAATAGTTTTTAGAGAGATTAAAGTGAAGTGACCTTATTAATTTGAGAGCTAGATAAGAGTAGTTTTAAGTTGGTGCTGTGCTGGGAAGTGCTTTGCTGAACAGGGCCCTTACTGATAAACATGGAATGCTTACTGAATATAACTGAAATCAGAAAAATATAGGTAAAAAATGAGGAGATTACTTGATGAGTACCTATATAGGAGCTAGGGCCCTTACTGATAAACATGGAGTTTATACTCCTTACTGAGTATAATTGAAATCAGAAATATATAGGTAAAAAATGAGGAAATTACTTGATGAGTACCTATATAGGAGCAATGTGTTTTAAATCACTTTAGAAAGGTCTTAAAATTGTGTAGATATAAATACAGACCTTGACAGAGGATAGGAATACTTAGCTGTGGAATGCACTTTTTCAAACTGAGGTGGTAAGACTTTAGGGATAATGTTTTAATATATAGGTTGCAGTCATTTTCTCTTTCAAATCATTTGAGGTCCAACAGGGCTATACTGTTCTTGTTCAGGTTGGTGTCTTCTGTACTTCTCTGTAGCAAAATACTCCTCCTGGGTCTGCAAATCTGTTTGCAGTTGAATATTCTAGTATTTATGAGAAACTTTTGCACTGAGGGGTATTGAATATTATGCAGGTTTGTGGTACACATTGTGGTATTCCTCTAGAAGGGCAAGACTGTAGGTAATTTTGAAAATCACAGGCCATATCTTAAAGCCACAGGATGAGTCATGATCTTATCCCATAAATTTTATGCAGGATTTACAGAGGAGAGTGAAAGCTTGTAAGGTGGAACTGCAGTTGGAAAAATATTGCAGCTGGAATTCTGGAGCTACCTGGAAATCCAAATATTCATGTACACTCCAACTCTAGCTTAATTTAAATATTAGTCTCTCTGACACTACCTATGCAGAAAGAATTCAGTTATCAGGATCTGATATTAAGTATAACCTTCTTTAAGGGGACAAGTGTCACACTCTGCATTATGGAATGTTCTGTAACCAGGACTGTGAACACTTAGGTGCCAAAAAAAATTAGTTAGCAACAGGGGAGAGGAAAGAAATGTTAGAGGAGAAATCTATTATATTAGTGTGAGAGAGTAACACATGTCAACTGATGTTTAAATTTGATAAATGCAGAAGCACATTGCAATTGCATCATGAGGGTGATTTTTTTTCTGGTTTATAATGAGTTGTGCTTTCCCCCATATCTTTAATTCCCAAATTGATTTGGCTTCAGTAATCATAAAAAGCCTTGATGTAAAATGTAGGGGTAATGAAAACTGTGGATTGAATTGCAGCTGAAAAGGCACTGAATAGTGAATAACAAGGTAGTTATTGAGTAATTAGATAGAAAACAAATAGCTGTGTTGAATTAAAGCAGTTGAGTATCTTCTGGGAGTTTATCCTGTGTTCTCTCATCATTGCTCCTTGTTTTCTTTTCCTTGCTACTCAATCTAGTTCACATTTAAGCATGCAGCATTCTTTTTTTTGCTGTTGTCACATGAAGTTGGCTGGCAGTCTGCTTAAGGAAAGAAGGAGAAATTGATGTTTTTTGTGAAAGAATGGAACTGAATTGTTTGTGGTTCTGACTGCAGAGGGGGGAGAAGAGGAAGCATCTCCTCAGGGTGATAGTCAAAAGTCCCAACAATAATTTAATGACACAGATGGTGGATGTTGCCTGCCTTGACTTCAGCAAGGCTTTTGACTCTGTCTCCCACACCATAGGCAAGCTTAGGAAGTGTGGGTTTAGATGAGTTGTTAGAGCTGCCTAATATTTTGTTTTTGGCTGTGTGGAGCTCTGCCTATGAAACAAAACACTGTGTTTGGTCCTTTTCAAATGCAGAAGTGACATACAGTTTTCCAAAGCTATGTTACTAACATTCAGTTGAAGGAAGTGAGGGGAAATAGGAGGAGATAGATACTTTTAGCAGGGAGGTGTAACTAAAGGTATGAAAAGACCTTTAAGGGCAGTTGTAGCTTCTCTATTCTGAGAAGTGTTGAACTATAGGCATGGTAACATTTCAACCGTAAGGTAGTATTGGAGGTGTGCATTGGTCATGTCCAGGTACCTGCATGGTGCTGCAAATAGAGTCAGATGACTGTGATTGTCCATCCTAGCTTGTTTAGGAGCTTCACTCTTCATGAAATTCAGATCTCAGCATTGCTATTTTTGGACAATATTTTTTAAAAGCTGTTAGTAACCAGGAATTAGTCTCATGTTGCTTAAACAACAGGCAGTACAGATACATATAAAAAGCCTTGGAGCCAGCCTCAGTGTAGAGCATTGTAGCTTAAACACATCACAGGTGGGTCCTGGTGGAGACTGTGGTACTGATTCTGCCACTGTCACAATTTAGGATTTGGGAACAGTTTTAAGAGTGAGTTAATGATCTCTGAAACACATGGGAAAGCATATGGATCAGTGAGGAACTGACTAATGAAGCAAAGGATGCGGGCAACAATCTTAGTAATTTTAGCTGAAATATTGATAAAGACTTTTATAAGGTCACAGTGATGTCCATCCAACTGTCTGGGCTTTCTCTGGCAGACCTTTTAAATCCAGTTGTCTGCTGGAGAGCAGACAATTGCAGCTTTCCTTTTCCTGATGTTGTATGCAGGAAAGTCTAACTCATGCTTGCTGTTCAGACAGATCTGCAGACTTTGCAAAGAAGGCAGCACTGTTAATGAGTAAGAGGAGCTTGCCTGATACCCTTATGAATTACAGCCACAGCATATATTCAAGCTGTTTCAATTAAAGGAACCTCTTTGACATTTTAATTGTATCCTGTATTGATCTGGTTTCTGAGACAGGCAACGCAAGGAGATACAGTTTCTTAAAAGGCTTATAAAATTAAAATGTCTTTTTAACTTAAGTTGTTATCATATGGTACTTCCTGAGGCAGGGATCTCTAGAACTGAGTGGCAAAGACTCATGTTGAAAACCAAGTTTGTTTTGCAGAGGAGTCTGGATAACTAATGCCACTTTTTGACTGACAGCTATAGAAAGTTTTCTGAGTATTTATTCAGAGGAGGTACCTCTGTAAGCCATAACAATCTTTCTTGCTTCATTTCTGTCTTCCCTCTCCATCCCTACAGGCATGATCTTTGTGAATGTGTCCAGACTGGTAAATCATAGAGTGAGCTGAAGAGTTTTGATAGCCCACAGTGATGCATTTTATTAGCTGTTTTTTGGATTGCTCAAGGAACTTTCTGATTTGTCTGCTGTAGGAAGGCATAGTCTTAAACCATGAGGACAGAAGCCAGTTCATCACATTTGATCTCAGAATCAGGGATTAGTCTCAAGCTCTTTAGCTTAGCAGTGTAAATGTGGGACAAAGAAATTTCTCTTCTTTTTCTAGCATACAATAGAATATTGTACTTGACTTACTGCCACAAATCTGGGGAAGTAATTTGCCTTGTTAGTGGGAATATGGTGGAGGTAGTCAGTCATAGTTAACATGTTGCTGTTGATATTCACAGTAACAGGACATAGGGAAGAGTGTACCACAAGTAGTTGTAGGCAATTAAAACAAAAAGGAGTAGAGCTACTCCAAATGCTAAAAGGATTGCTTCGAAGGGGATGTTTGTGAAGTGGTGCAAGGAAACTCAGGACAATTTTTAAGTTACTGGCTTGAAAATCTCTGTCTGCACAGGAGTTTCTTTTGAGAAGATAGATCCTGTTTTTACAGGCACAAATGAAAATTCAGCTGCACAGAAAATAGATTTTTTCAAAGCAGCAGGCTGCAGAGGAAAGCTTTGTTAGATGACACTAGAAATAAAAAGTGACTTATTTTAAATGACAACACTGGAGGAGGGGGAAGGGTGGGAATAAATAGGAGGGAGAAGAATTGCTGGATTCACAGTGGCTATGAGTAAGTGCCTATAGAGAATGTGTTGTTTTTCTTTTCTGGGCTCCTTGCTGGTTTCCAGCCAGCCCTGGAAAACAAAGCTGCTGCTGTAGCATGTGCAGTGCAAGAGAGGCTTTTTGGTCAGCATTGTTTAATGAGTTATTTTTATCCTGAGGAGTAGCTTCCAAGCGCCTCATTTTCTGGGCTTTTATTGATGGCAATATCTGGAAAGCCCACGTGGAATACAGTCCCTCCCTGAAGGAAGGAGACAGTGTCTTTTTTAGTACAGAGTGATGGGCAAAATGAAAGAATGAGCAACTCCATCAGAGCATGTGCTGCCAGACACAGGGAAGACATTGGGAGTAGCTCTGTCCTGTGCTGCTGTGCTTTTAGAGCTAACAGGAAACAAAGAAATGTTCCCAACTGATACATTTTTCATGGGAAGGAATTTTTGCTCTTCCCAGGGTCTCTCAGTAGGGTCAAGTGGATGTTGTGAGGTTGTATTTTGGCTCTGTTGTGGATGCAGGCTCCTTGTTTAACAAGTACCCAAGGCTGCTGCTTTTCCTATGGCACAAGAGTTACTTCTCTGGTTACTGTTAGCTTACAATTTAGTTGCAAATAAAAACAACACTCCATCATGGCAACTGCAACCTTCTCTGCAGTTAAACAGAACTGGATGGTGGTGGTGGTTGTTGTTTATAGTACCTCTGCTACTTGGTGTTTCTCAGTACTAAGTAATAGCTAAGGTGTTAAATGTGCCTTTTGCCTCTCTCACATCTGTAAAAAGGTGATGCTATTGCTTTCAAAAAACTTCTTTGAGGGTTATGTATTTATGAATCACTTGGAAACCCAAGAGAAAAGATCATATTTTCCGACAAGTTTCTCTTGTACTTGAAGCTACATTTATTTCCAAGAAAAATGTGTTTCCAGGTTTCTCCTGAGTGAAGTGTGTGAGCTGCAGCATTCAGCCACAGATGTACCAGTGATAGACTTCTTCCACACACACTCTTGCCATCCAAGAAAAGATGCTATGTCTGGTGACTGTGAGACTTCCTTTAAGTGCAAAAAATGTAGACAAGTCCTCGGAGAAATAACTTGTTTTGGAAGGATACGACTGAAAAATCTCAAAATTCTAGTTGGAAGAAAATACATTTGTTGCATTCATCAGCTGTTGTTGCACTGATTTAGAGTTTGTGGTAAACTGAGAAGTAGTATAAATTACCTTGCTGTATGCACTGCAGTTTCCAGTAGTGTTGAGGAGGGGTTAGGACTATCTTATGAAGAGAAAACAATGTTCAAGCTGTAAGAGGGATTCTTAAGACAGCTTTCGGGCAGGAGTTCATCTGCCCTTTTAGGAAGGGTTAGGAGTATCTGATGGTGAGAAAACAATGCTTGTTCAAGCTGTAAGAGGGATTCTTAAGACAGCTTTCGGGCAGGAGTTTATCTGCCCTTTTAGGAAGAAAGACACTCTTATTAAGGTAGTAATAATTCTTCTTTCTTCTACAGGAAGGAGTTGAAGTGAGGGTTGCCAGAATATTCAACACTTTTGGTCCTCGAATGCATATGAATGATGGCAGAGTTGTCAGTAATTTTATCCTACAAGCTCTCCAGGGAGAACCACTAACAGTGAGTAATGACATCTCAGTGATGTGATCCTATCCTTCCTTATGGGCTAGGAAAGAGCATGGAGCTGAGAAAACACTTTCTCCCCCACTCTAAAAATCTAGTCTTTCAGTGTATCAAGCTCAAATGTATAGAATTCTATATCCAAAGGTGTGCTCTGTTAATGATCCTTTCCCAGAGAGAAGCAAGGCTCCCAGTTGCAATCTGAGGAAGTATTTTAGTCATCCTGAACTTGAATCTCTGTCCACTACAACTCTTCTATGGCTCGATGTGACAAGGCTTACAGAATCATGTTTTGCTACTCCTTTTGAGGAACTTTCTCTGAACTCTTTGTGGAAGTTAGATATCTAAATGTCTTTTTTTCAAGCTGGGAGACCAGCCAGAATTTTCCATGTGTAACATAACGTTAAAGGCCTTCAGGCTACATCACACCAATAAAGAAAGCCAACCAGGACTTGTTTTTGTTACTGCTGACAAACTGCTGTGGCATGACATGCACCCATACAGCTGAGTTTTCTGCCAAAATGAGCTGCAATATCCAAACTGCTTGCTGTGAATGCTCCTTGGTTCTTTGGTAGTGTTTAAGCAATGTCACAGCTTTGTCTGGGAGAGCAAGAGCTGGCACAGTACTCTAGCAGAATGCTGCTGGTAATTTAGCCATACAGACAGCACCTCACCTGTGCCCTGATGCTGCTTACTGTTGTAAAATAATAATTGAGGAGACATCCTGAGACAGGCAGAAGTAGTTTGGAATCTGAGATAGTTGTGAGCTCATGTAAACATTTACAGTTTGTGACATACAACAGAAATTTCATGAAAGTATTTAAGTATCACATCAATTAATAGAGTGAAGTGCCAGGAAATCACTCAGTGGCTCCTGCAGACAGCACCTCACCTGTGCCCTGATGCTGCTTACTGTTATAAAATAATGAGAATATGGAAAATAATTGAGGAGACATCCTGAGGCAGGCAGAAGTAGTTTGGAATCTGAGATAGTTGTGAGCTCATGTAAACATTTACAGTTTGTGACATACAACATAAATTTCATGAAAGTATTTGTTAAGTATCACATCAATTATTAGAGTGAAGTGCCAGGAAATCACTCAGTGGCTCATGCTGAATAACTAAAAATGTTGCCAAGTACCTCCACGGGGCAGCTGTCTTGAGACTGAGACAGCATTCCTTCTGTTGGAGTCCAAACTCCAGAGTTCAGGCAAGAATTCCACTAGGGAGGAGCAGAGAATCAAAGGAGAAAAACAATGAAAGTTTTGTGGCAATCCCACTACCATGATCCTCATGGGGCAAAACCTGAAACTGGACAGAACACTGAAGAGCCTATACCAGGGAATAAGTCACCCCCAGGCAAGATGAACTTTGGTGTCCTGTGATAGATCTCTCCTAACTTTACTCTTTTTCCAAATAATATGTCAAAATATGGCAGGCAGAACTTGGGCAGTAGACTCTATTGACAAGGTGACATCTAGATCTCTCAAAAAGGCTCAGGTTGTGTCTATTCTGCAAAGCCATACCCATCACCTGACTGAAGTACACTGATAATTTTTGAAAGATGGCTCTTCTGGGGAGGTTAGTGTTGCTCACTTGCTGTTTATCAGTGATTTTTAAAATGATTCTTTAATGGCATCAGTTATGCATCCTGGCTACTCTGTTCCTAACCACTGCTAGATTTCTGGTTTAGGCATGTGGTTATTTCAGAGTAACAAGCCTGTAGTGATTTGAATGCTGTGTTCCCTGCATCTCTTCAAGACTTCCTTTTTCCTCAGAGAATTACTTTATTTTTTTTCACAGAGCACTCTCAGTGTGCAGACTATGGTAGCAACTGTGTGATGCTGGCTGTGACTTATTGGCCAGTGTTTACTGGGACTTATGACATTTAATGTGTCATATAAGTCAGCATTAAGACTGCAAATGCAGGGCTTAGTCTTGGGTACCTGACACAACCAGGGAGCCCAGCTTGCCTGGTCTCTACTGAGGCTATGTATGAGAATAGGCTTATTACACAACTACATGAGTTCAATACTTTTTTCCTTTTAAAACATTTGAAAAAAAAAAAAGAAAAAGAGCACTGAAATTCCTTCAGAGTTTAATTTTCTTAACCAGGTGTCTCCTCAAAACTGCAGGATGAGGCTGAATTCTCTTTGTTACAAGACACTAAACAAGGAGAATCAGACAATGAAGATGGAGCTTCTTCCTTTGAGCCTTTTGATCTTTGTAGGACTTGGTTGTGTCAAAATATTCATGTAACCCTATACTGGTTTGTCAGTAGTATATGTTCCCAGGATGGCATCCTGGGGCATGAAGTCTGAGCCTCTAAATGCTGTTTAGAAAGCCTGGCTACCCTACAGAAGGACAGAAGATACTTCCATTTTTCAAGGTAGTTCCCCAGTGCATGTAGGGAGCTATTGCTCCTATGGCCTCTCAAATGTTTTTTTTCATTCATACTTGGTTTCTGAAGTTTTATTGAGGAACACTAACTGGAAGTTCTGTGAAGCCTGCACATGAAGCAGTTAATCTTGTTTTAGAACATGCAATCTATGGGATATTTCAGAGGATCACTGAGAGAAGCTGAGTCAGTGCTGTTCTGGGAGTAGGAATGTTGAAAGCTTTTTTTAAAATCAGTTTTGTAACTGCTATGTTGTCTAGACTTCATAAAAAATAAAACAAAAAAGGATAAAATAGAACATTTACCCCACATCACTGTTGTGCAGGGAGTAACTATGTGACATTGAAAATTACTGAATATGAGAGAAGAGCTAAGGGGAGAGTTATTCAGTTGACCAGATCAAATAAAATGAACTACCACCAAAAAGCAGCAACTGAGACAAAAAAAAAATCACCCATGTATTATCATAGAATTTGACTGACAGGAATACTGAGTGTTGACCTTAGAAAATTAAAAAAATAATTAAAAAATAATAGCCTGTGCAAACATGACCATTCTTTGTGTTATTGTAAAGGAAGCATTTATTAAGAGAAATTGGGAGATACTGAGAGAAATTGGGAGGAGGAAACTACATTGTATTTTCCAGCTGCTGCCTGCACATAGCAGAGGTAGGCACGTGGATGACTTCACAGAAGTGATTCACAAATCACTTTGTTCTACAAAACTTCTCTCACAAGCCAGAAGTATTCATGTTCTTGGGACTTTAATACTTCACGCAGTTAAACTGTAAGGAAAATTGTTATCTGAAATCATTAGGTACACTTTTAAGTATACTTTAATGTCTGGTTGAACTTAACTTCTTTGCTCCAAAATATCCATGCATAACTTGAGAAAACTCCAGTTTTTACCATCGAGGATTTTGATACAAATCCAGCTGACTTTAGGAGTCATATCCCCTAAAAATTTTTCTTACCTCCCATTTCCCTAGATAATAAATTCTAGAGCCACATGATTTTTTGTGTGTTTGTTTTAGTCCTGGTTGCTCTGAATACTTACAGTGCTATTTTTCTTGACAATTTTTTTAGAGACCACTAATATTTAGTGGTCTCTTTGAAGCTGGCTGTTGTTAATGAACAAATAAATTGCTCATCATAACCACATCTTAGTAGTCTGAGGTTTGCCTTAAATATCTGGTGTTCTTTTCTGGCTGAGTGCATGCTGGGGCCTCTTCCAGTGTTCCAGGCCAGGATAAAGCATCCCTGTCCTACATCCCTGAGAATGTTCCTACATGCAGTTATGGTTAACAAAATGCCTAAGGATGTGTTTTCTGGAGACATATCTGAGGGCAAGACAACCTTCAAAGCACTGACACTTTGCCAGAGGCTCTGCAAGCACATATTTTTTTCCATTCCTATAACACTTAACTTCTGTCTCAGATATTTCTCCTCGGGATGTTTTTTCTAGAATGGTAAGGAGAAGATAATTTGGCTAGCAAGGACTTTTATATTTCTGTAACTTTTCTAATTATCTTCTGATTTCAGGTCTATGGACCTGGAACTCAGACAAGAGCTTTCCAGTATGTCAGGTAAGCCTTGTTTGTGTTATCTGGTATTTATTTCACTTGGTGGTTCTTTGAGTTTGACCAACTTTGTATGCACATGCATTTTAGTCCAAGAAATGGTGTTCATTCTTAGGCCAGCTTTACTTCCAGAAGGGAGACACTGAAGTATTTTAAAGCACCAAGAAACAAAACCTGAATTGGTTTAGAACTTTGAACTGAAATACTAATGTGTTCTTCCCTTCAAGGGACAGCAAGTAGGTCAGTTCTTAACTCTGAGCAGTTTGTCACTGTCTGCTTTTCAGTGCAGTGCTGCCACCGTGTGTCCCTGGCCGTGCTGTGGTCACCCTGTGTGCCATACCTGTGCACATCTGGGGGAAGGGTGTTGCTGTAGCTAATATTGCACTGGAAGCAACCCCAGAATGTACTTTCACCATGAAAAAGTGAACCCCTTCCTCAGAATCTTTTCTCCTGTCATGCTAACTGAACTTTTTGTGGCAGGCTTGTGGCTTTAGTCATTCTCTGCTTGGAAATGTTCCTTCCCTCTGCTGAGAGTAGTGATGGTGGTGAGAGATGCCACAGAAGCTCTTGGCTCAGAGTAGCCTCTCCTTCCCTTGCTTATAAGCCAAAATGGAAGGAATCTGGATTTCTGTGTCCAGGGGCAAGCTGCTAAGTTTGTTGCTGAGAATCCAAAATAACTGGGCTGTTTTGCTGGGGGGAGGAAACACCAAAATACTGTTTTTTATCAGGCTTGGCTTAAGATTTTCTGAAATCAAGGAGACAAACAATCAAATGAGAAGCAAGTGGTGGTCTCATGTGCCTCTGTATTGCAACTTCCTCTAATCTGTTTGAAATAGGCTGGAAATGGGCCTCTCAATGTGCTTGGAGCAAAGAGGAAGTATTATTTTTTAGTAACTTGATTTTATTTTTTATTCTTTCATATGCTCAAATGAACTATAGCCAGTGTATCCCAAAGAATCACCCTTTGAAACTAACCTGTTCACTGTATCTTACAACAGGGACTGTAGAGCATTGTAGTGTACACTGTAAATCTGGTTTCAGCATTCCTCAGCTGCCTGGTCTGCTTTACTGGAGCTCTGAGCTGGCAGCTCTGCATTTTTAGACAATAATATTATTTATAGGGAGATGGATATTGCCTCAATCTGCTCTCTCCTCCTCACAGTGACCTCGTGAATGGGTTGGTGGCATTGATGAACAGCAATGTCAGTAGCCCTGTCAACCTGGTGAGTATGAGAGCTCCACTCCACTCTGTTTACTCTGAAGTGGCCAACACCAGCTCTGTTTTCCTCCTCATCACTAATGCTGATTTGTAGAAAAAACAAATGGAACAAAAAAGCTCTTTCCATTATGAATAATGTATTCCTCCCTGTATTTTCTTTATAAATAAGAAGTTTAAGCCCTTAGATGTTGAGAACTTGGAGTTCCAAGAAGAGAATAAATTTTCTAGGGTTTTTCATTTGTTTTAGCAAAAAAATATTATGTAGTCAGACTAGGGAAAAAAAAACTAAACAAACAAAATAGGAGCCAGGGGGACACACAGGATACTACAAGGAATTATTATGATCTGGTTTTAATGGAAAAAGAAGCACTGAAGGAATACTTAGTTCTAAATAATTAATAAATCACTTCATACTAGCCTTGTTTAGAGGAAAATAGGATTCTATTTGATGGTACAATTTTTTTATATCAATTAAGGATGCTTAGAACTTAACTTTTCTAATAAGACTTTTTGTCCTGTCCCATTTGTTGTCACTGTATTCTCCACAGTGGATATAATAATAGAAGGATGGGTGTGCCAGGTGATTTCTCTGTATGCAAACTTTTGCTAAATCAGATATTTAACTCTGCAGGGCAGTTGTTAACTAGATTTTCCCTATTTTTTTTTTTTTACTATGGCCATGAATTAATTTATATTTCTAACCAAATGCTGATGATTTTTAAACTCCATCACGTGTTTTGTCTCCAGAAAAATTCATGTTTAAATCTGTCTGCACCTAAGTGTTCAGATTTAGGTCAAACAAGATGTGGTAAAGAGTTTTGCAACAAGGAAAGCTAGGGGTGGAGAGAATCAAGTCTGATGATGGTGAGCTAATGCTAACAGGAAGCTTTCAGCATTTTGTTCTGAAATACTGATCAAAGTTCAGGAGCAAGTTGGTTAAAAAAAGAAGAGTTAAGAGAAGGAATATTGCACAGGAGTGGCATGTGCCTTTCTGGTAACTGAGGTGCATTTGCCCATTCTTTTTATTTGGACACTCCCCTGTATACATTGAATTACCAAGGCAACTTTTTTAATGAGCATGGAACTTACCAAAGTTAATTTTTTTTCATCTAAGCAGGAGAAAGGCATTTTTTTCATCTAGGGCAGGAAAACAGATCTACATGGTCTTGTCAGTCTCCCCTCATGTCAGAAAGGGAACATGTTGTAAGGTGTTTAATTGTTGCTGTAATGAATATCTCTTCCATTTCTAGGGAAACCCAGAAGAGCACACTATCCTAGAATTTGCCCAGTTAATTAAAAAACTTGTTGGTGAGTGTGATCAGTAATTCTTACTGAAGCTTATGAAGTACTTATTGTGGTTAAGTGATTATTACTTGATTAGTGCGTGTAATAGATGGGTAATTTAATTGGTGTTTGGGTTTCTTAATAACTTTATCAAAGGCATTTAATTGTATCCTGATCATATAATTAAATATTAATAAGATCATCCAAATCCTCTCAACTGTATATATAATACTGCATGAACAGTAGAACGAATGCATTCTATCTGTGTCTCTGTGCAATCTATATCCATTATTTTGTATGAAGTTTATGCATTTATTTTAGCTTTGTTTTGGCACAAGGACAGTACATAATCATAGAATCATAGGGGTTGG